ATCTAATTAAATTAATAAAGACATTTAAATGAATAGTTTGGGCTTGACCATTATGTTTTCTTGAGTGTATTTGATGTTCCTGAACTGTTTGTATACTTGGTGGTGTCAAATTTTGAATGCTTACATGTAGTACAAATATTGTTGCTTTATAATTCGAGTTAGAAGGATTTTCGGACAGATTCTGTGGTTTGATATGTTTCATAGTGAAAATGATGTTTGCTGTAGAATTGGTTAATAATAAAGTTGTAGGGAACTTCTTAATCTATCTTGTGTTAAAATTTTAGGGCAATAGACCAAAGGGTTTAGGAGTTATAGCTGTTTAAAGTTAATTTTCTGAAATATTTGTTCTCTGGAATTTCTGGACAACACTGGATAGATTGTCTGTTTTGGTTAGGATAAATTGTGAATTATCTTTTGATGATTAAATAAGAGTTGTAGAAAATTTTATAAGCTTTCCAGAAAGTTCAAGATCACAACATTTTAATAAGTAGAACTTCAATTATGATGTTAACTTGTAACTGCCATGTGTAGCTTAGAAATTGCATTGTGTGAAATTTGCAAGTAGATAGAGAAGAGATATGCACCTACTCAGTTAGCATGGAGTTAGCTTTGTATCATGGTGTAACTTAACATCATTATTGCAGCATGTACCTTTCTATATCACATCATCTATGATCCTTCTTATGCATTTATGGGACTTACTTATGCATATGCATGCAATAGGTGCCACCGAGGACATCATGCTAGTGGAGCTAGATGACGATCCACAAGAGGAGAACCCAGAAGCGCAGCACCAGGAGGTTCTCGGAAAAGGAGAGCCTGAAGCCGATCACCTTCCCGAGTGCCCGGACCACCAGCCTGCAACGTTCGTGAAAGGCAAGCCCCGGAGCATTATAAGCCTCTGTACTTTATTAATGTCACCTAAAGTTATTCGTATTGATGTATTACATGACAGGAGTTGTTTAGAAACACTTGCTGCATATTACCTTCCTTGACCAGAAATATCTACCATGAATCCTATTTAAGTCTAGGAATGTTTATCATGCTTAGCTATACTTAGACCGGTAGAAGTCGGGTGATTTCCTGTCACCTGCGAGCTATAGGTGATAACTTGATCACAGTTGGCTATATTGTGCTATTGTGGAACATAACCTGGTATTGTTGAATAAATAGAGACCGGGTGGAGTCTTATGTTGTGGTATCGTAGTGATTATGTCTGTGTCATTTAAGGATCGGCCGTTGAAGGTTCATCTTGTCATGTTGAACGCATGCCTCTCACATAGTTGGCCGGATAAGTCGTTCCGACCGTGAAGCCGAGTAGCTAAACTCAGGCTGGGGACACGAGCAGTTAAAGTGTGCACCTTGGAGACAGTAAGGATGTGCGGAGAGCCAATGGCGTAAGCCCAAGGATGGGTTAGAGTCCCGAGCACCCTTGGTAGATTGGTTGTATCTTTGAGGGTGCGGCGCTGGTCCTACCCATGATTGTACTTGAGTTGTACCAAAGGTGACCTAATACGACCCTGACGAGGGAAGTATGGGTGTGTGTGAGGAATAATTCCCCAGCTGGGTAGGAATCGATTCGAGTCACCATCTCTCCCGGATAGTGAGAACTGACAGGAATACACTTCATTGTAGTAAATGATCGAAATGTTGGTTATGAGATTATGCAAGAACTCAACTAGATATGGTTATTATTGTGATGACTTAATGGTACCAATATGTTTGGCATAGGATAGTTGCTAATCTAGTATGGGATAGGATTAATAACTTGTGATTCACAATTAAAGAGATGTTGGATAACTTATGCTTTTCTGCAAATAATGTCTACCAGCTCTACTTATAAAGCCTTGCATACTCCTTGATGTCTTAGTATTTTAGTTGGACGGGTAAGTCTAGCTGAGTACCTTCTCGTACTCAGGGTTTTATTCCCATTGTTGCAGATAACGTTATGTATCATGGTTACTGCAAGAACTGCTTTGCTCCTGCAGTGGATGAGAACTAGGACAATGGGCAATGGTCATTCTGTATATCATCTCACCCTTGTGCTTTTGGTGGAGATGACTATGATACCGGCTTTGTATTAAACTACGTGTGATGTTGATGTTAACTTGGTTTGTAATAATTATTCGAACTCTGATGTATGAGAAATATTTGTGAACTGTGATGTAACATGTGACGGGTTGTGTTAAATCTCTATGATCTTTGTTTGTATGTTGGTTGTTTGAGATCCTTCAAGATTTCATCGGACTACCGGGTTTATATGGGCTCAAGTATGACGGTTTGATCACTTCCGTGATTGCTATTGTACTTATGCTCTTATAAATTGGACGGTTCTGTGACAGCTAGTAGGTGGAGCATTGTGGTCATTTGATCCGGCGGTGAAAATAATTTTTATGGACAGGTTGGTGGACAACATGGCGGAGAAAACCATGGTGATTATCATCTCCGAATCATACGGCGAGTCGATGGTGAAGCAATTTTCACTGCTGGCTAGACAGCCACTATGCACCACATACTACCAGCCTTTTCACCACTGTTTTTTCACGCAACTGTAATAACTGGTGGTAAAAACCATGCTGTATAAATAAAATATGTAGTATTGATAAGATAGGAGCATGTGGAACTGCGGAAGTGCCCCCCAATTTTTGTTATTTGTTCCATGTTGGATAAATCATTATGGTGCCACCATTATTGAAATTGTTGCCTACCTATCGTTCTAGAATACCCAAGCAACCTAAACCCCCAGTCCAGCGAAATGTAAAACCCTTTTGCACCATCAACATCCTCCAAGAAGAAATAGGTTAGACAAGCCAAGACCAAGCACAGGCCCAAACCAACTGCCGAGAACAAAGCCAAAGCTACGACGAAGAGCAAGCCCCCCGTGGAGGCGGAGGGGGTCGGGTTTTTTTTGCAGAATATCACCCCGCAAACAGTAATCCCATTCATCCAACAACCATCCAAAGTTTCGCGAAACCACCTTTCATTTGGCCTCCAATCCAGAACCCACAGTTCGTGCCCGCTTCAAACTACACCCACCATCCTACTCAGTCAGTGGCTGTGTCTCTGCCACATCACCCAGAAAAGCAACACTCAGATCAGCCACCGCCCACCAAGCAGGAAAACCAACAAGATCAGCCTACAGTAAATAACAGCTTGCCTTCGCTCGGACATGTACATTTTTGCTATCAACGGTGGTTCCAATCAAAAACACGAAAGCAAGCTAGTGAGCCCAGCGCAACAACGAAAGAAGGATGCACACCATATCGCCCAAGTTACCAATACTCAGTGCCAATGATTTAGCTTTAAAAAAATGAAGATGCTGACACGATGATTTACCCCATGCGTGCTCGGGTGCTGCTGGTGCGCGAGGTGGTTAACATCTGAGATGAAGGCGGAGAAGATGTGGACCAGGAGTAGAGCATGGTGCCGTGGATGGATAGGATCCGAATGGCCAGCTACTGATTTTGTAATTATATACATATGGTGGGACCCATCTTAAGGCAAAATAAGCATTATACATTCTGTGATTTGGAGATAGGCTAGAGAGAAAGGAGAAGGCTTTCGATTGTAAGCAAAGAAGCAACACACCCTTGTTAGCGATGGAGCATTTTGTTTGCACATTGGTATGTGAACATTGAAGGTCTAGCTTTGTAGAGAGATGTAGCGGTTTATTAAGTGACATGGTTACTTTTACCGCAACAGATCTTCTTTGTTTGTAGTGCATGTAAGTGCTAAATGAATTTTTGAAACTATTATTGAAAACTATGCATTAGGATGGTTGAGTCGAAACTACACCTCTCTCCTCTAGAAATCACTAACAGAAACTATACATTGGATTTGCGCTAATCGATGTGTACAAAGTGCTTCTTCTCCCATCCTGACTCGCATAACACGTGAAAAGAGTAATAAGTAGGGTTCATACCGGAAAATCTCAGCAATCAAACTCGTTTAAACATGTCAACCATACTGTAATATATTCGACTGTGATGGTGAACCTAAAATAAGAGAGAACTAATTAAATCTTAAAAATGTTGTAGTGGTATTCAACATCAAAGGAGACACCGATTGTGTCCATTACTTACTTCTCCATCCTTTATCCAGTCTGGTGTACTAAGATTTTTCAGTCCTCCGGCCATACAGCAGCCACTTGATCGTCTAGCGCGATGTTGCTGGCTGACCAGGCTTGGAAGTAGATTTGCACTGATATGGAAGGGAGAGAACGAGTGAAAACAAAAAGGCAGTGAATTGTTTGGCGCTAGCGTGGTTGCGCCGAGCAAGAAAAAGTTAGAATCGCATTGGCCCGTGCTGCTTTTTTTATTGTGGCTACCAAACAAAAATAGCTAAGAACGATTTAAGAAAAACAGCTAAGAAGAGAAGTTATTTCATTAATTAATTCTAACACCTAGGCCCACATCTGGCCATAGCCCTGTCGGCTGTCGATTTCGGCACCAAAGCCTGCGACGCCGTGGTGGATGGCTGGAAGCGTTCTCGTGTGACCAGAGCACCAGGCGGCTGCTGACTTGCTGAGTGAAGAGTGGTGCGTCTGTGAGCTCTCGCAAACCACAGACACAATCGATAGATACATGACATTGGACTTGAAAGTAGCGTAATAATCATTAATAGATATATGAACCATGTATGTTGAGTACCCCTATGTCGTATTAATTTTATTGGCTCCTTGAATTGTAAATCTGGCTATATATCACTTGGCTACATGCCTTGCACAAGTAATAAAACTTATACCAGTAAACAATAAGGAACATGCAGATATAGCTTGCTACTAGTTGCACATTTATTCCAATACAAAACGAAATTTTCATTCAACAGCACAATAGTAATCTCCTACAAAGCCTGGCTAGAACATTATTCCGAAATTAGAACAGTAGAACATAAAAGGGCAATGAAATGCCTCGTCCACTTAAGAGTCAAATTAATTAAAGGAAATACTTATGCTCATCATCATGGTCCATCCGTCCATGGATTTATTAGAGCAAGCCTACTCAAAGTTGCCAGCTGCAGGCCGGGCAGTTTACTTCACTCGTCTTCTCATCAACAGCAGGCTGCGGCATTGACGCCAGCGAGGTGCCCGCCGCCGCGGGTGGTCCTCCAGGCCACATTGCATACACGTCAGTGCAAGGTGCCAGCTTCGTGACATCTGGCACGGATGGCAGGCCCAACTGCAGTGTGAGATCTGGCGACGGTGGTGGCGGTGGCACTGCAGTCTCTTCATCCACGCCCGGGACCACAGGTGCCGGCGGTGCCAGCGGTGCTGGTGGTGCTATACCCTGCTGGTTAGCGTTCTCACGGTATAGGCGTAGAAACTCGGACATGGGCTGCACGTAATCAGCAAATCCCAATCTAGCAATGCCAGCGATTAGGTCATCCGCGGAGATAGTCAGGCGCCGGTCTCGATGGCACTCCTGCATGGCCGCCCGTGTGAGGACCGCGGAGAATTCCACGATGCACTGGTCCATGGTCTCCTTGGCGCCGCTGGTGACCCTAGAGTCTTGTGGCAGGACTTGGCGCATGATACGCGTTATGGTGGCTTTTGGGATGGTGTACTCTTCAGTTGGTTTTGATCCTGCAGATATTAAAAAATTATTAGGTTCCTCATATCATACTGACCAAGTATCGAAGAGCTCCACCAAAATTGTACCAAAAAATTATTTATCAAAATAGATGTAATATTAACAACTTAGCTATGTATCAAGAAAATGACTAACGACCTAATAAGTTCCAACTTGCTATTTGTCGGTACCTCTTGCGGGCTTCTTAAATCCTTTTTAGAAAGGAAAAGACATCTTAGTCTAACTGGTTCCTTTGTCGGTAGCGCTTTATGTAGCCTAGCTACCGACAACGAATTGTTTACATACGGAATCTCGAACTGCTAGCGATAATATCCCTTGTCCTTCTAAAAAATATCATCAGTGTAGTAAAACTCACCTTCAGGATCGTCATGGTGATCATTTCCTTGAGCGTTGCTCATGGCTCTTGTAATCTTGTGTTTGTTATTCTCATTGAAAGAAGTCCATGTATTTATAATCATCTAGTGAAGAAAGAAAATTTACATGTGTCATATGGGAGTTTTGCATGCGTGACACTTGTCACTGATTGTATATTATAACAATCTTATGAAAAAAAGAATTTACATGTGTCATATATGATTTTTGCATGTGTGCCACTTGTCATTCATTGTATATGATAGCCATCTATGATTTTTGCATGTGTTTCACTTGTGGTTGATCGTAGAAGTATGATTTTGCATGTGTGCCACTTGTCATTCATTGTACTGTGATAGCCATTTGGGATTTTTGCATGTGTGCCACTTGTCACTGACCATAAATGATAACCATTTAATGAAGACAAAAATACACATGCCATATATGATTTTGCATCGATGCCACTTGTCAATAACTGTGCCGGTAGATTAAACGAGACATGGTTGAAGAAAATTTAAAAAGTTAGATGTGATGGATCCTCAAAGAAATAGAAGGAAATTAATGTCAGATGAAATATTTGGGCCAAACTACAACCTTCACAACAATGTATCATACTGCTACGTGTATTATTTATTCCATCTAAAGACAATCTTTAAGAATAATTTTATATCCAATAAAATTCCTAAAACCTAAGTTCTTACCGCTCGGCGATCCTTGCATGCTTTCATGAGCCGTCACACCAAAGACTTTATCTTGGCATGCCATGGTGTGACTATAGGAGACCGTCACCTGCACCATTCATAACTATTCTAATATTGAGGAAAAACAAGGCATTTTTTAAAAAAGTGGACTAATATATATATCACTTGGACAAAGGACAGATTGGCAACGTGCAGATGACCCTCTTTGTAGGTTGGTACATCAGGCAAATTTAGTAAACAAAAAGGCCTTAGACATTGGGCAGCCTATCGCACGCTGATTATTGTGCTATCTCTATCTCAATCTCTATCTACAACTTAAAATTACAGAAATGCTATTAAAATAAAAAATACGGAGGGCAATCGTCCCCGGCCTCTTTCGCTCGCTCGCTCGTAGGCACCCCCGGCGCACGCGGGATCGCTCACCCCACGGCCACGGTACACCCAGGTACTCCCATTCCCTCTAAATGCCACTTTTCATGGACCCATCCGAACGCTTCTTGATAAAATACCACCTGGTAATTACTGAATACTTCATGATAGCCAGAGATCCGCCCGCAATCACACTCCAGACACCACGGCGTCACGATCCTTCTCCCCCAGTCCCCCGAACGAAACCAAGCAGTGCACGATGAGTCGACAACCTTGCCCCGCCCGTCGACCTCGCCGTTCGCTGCCTCCTCTCCTCGCCCCACACCGTTGACCTCTCCCCGCTCTCGCCCACGCCGCTGCCTCCTCTGCCCGCGCTGTCGACCTCGCCGTTCGCCGGATCGAGGCTGCCGCGAAAGCCGACGATAGGGCATGTCCGCGACACCGTGCCCCGCCCTATAACACTGACGCCCGCCAACACCCTTCGCAGCTTCCTCTGATTGACGCCATCTTCACCTTGCGCTGCCCAGAGGTGGAGAAGGTGCCGCCGTTGCACAGCAGGTGCTCAGGTCTTCATCGAGCCCTTCGTCGGCGACGAGCACTCAGCAGGTATGCCCACGCTTCTCTACAAAATAATGTCAGTTTTTGGTCTTAGCGTGTTATCTTGTTCCCGTTTTCGGTTGCAGTGTGTTGTTCTGATTTTGGTAGACCTGCGCTACATTTTCATGGAAGCTTAGTTTGTTGCTATAAAGTTGTCCTTCACAATCATAGATTCATTCAGAGTGAGAGTTGCTGTAAGGCTTCGGTCGAAGAATTCAGAGGATTTAGCACACGGTGCCGACTTTGATAGTTGTGTTGAGTTGCAACCAGAGGATAGTTTTGCCCATCCCATTGTCCCTGCCGTTATCGTTCAGTTGCTCTGCTGCCGTGCATACTTTGCGGCTCAAGTGCTGGACTGATTCGCACATCCTGAAAGGTCTGCCCCCGCTTCATGGTCCCTCTATTTAGTCTCTAATCTTCAATCCACATTGTGTTGGTCTTTGTCCCAAGGATTTGCACCTTTGCAGAAATGTGGCGTGTGCAGTACATGTTTGTAGAAATGCCAAACCACTTAAGCTTACGTACATACAGGTATGTGTGCCTGTCATTCAGTCTTAGTGTGTAGTATTTTTCCTATTCTGTTTTATTTGGTCGATCACCATTGATGGATATGATGCAGTATATTTTCTTGCCTTTTTGGTACATAGCATCTTTATATGCTCAAGTATGCTACCTTAGATATTTGCCATACGCACGTTGTGGCTGTTTTTCGTTGCAACGCACGGGCATGATCCTAGTATATAATAATTAAAGAAGAGGCAAGAACTTGATTTTTGGCATGGCCATGAGAGAAATCATCCCTAGAGACCAACTATTGCGGTACAATGGTCTTTTGACCCCACTATTTTACAACCTCTACTGTATTAATTAAGGACTTGACAAACGTGCATTTGGCTTGAAGCTTGCACGCACGGATCCCTTCCCCTGCATCTTAAACCTCCCACACTCCCCTGCCCCTGCCGCTCCCTGCTCGGCTCTGGCAACGCTCATGCCACACCTCCGCCGACACCCACACCACCCACGCTAATTCTAATCCCCTTCTTCACCGGATGGTTCCCCCGCCGGTGGTGGCACCGTCCAACCGGCCTCTCCCACAGCCCAACAAGTGGTGTCCCCGCCACCGTCTCAACTGCCACCTTCGCCGGTCCACCGTTCTCCCCAAACCTCTCCGCCTTTTACAGCCAGAGAACACATGTCATGTGTAAGTAGATGAAATGAGACATTAATGGTTGGAGAAAATTTAAGAAGTATTAGGGTCTATTTGGAATATGGGAAAAGTTGTTTCTGTTAATTTCTGTAAAATTCATGCGCTCGAAAAAAGCCTTTAAATAGGATGGACTCTAAATGAAATGGAAGGAAATTAATGTTAAATGAAATAGTTAAGACAACCTGCAACCTTTACACATGCAATTTATGGTGGTATGTGTTGGCCATGGCAACTGGTCTCTTTTCAGGATGCGTTTTATTGTTTAGACAATTTAAATACAATATTTAAGAATAATTTTATGTCCAATGAAAATTTGAAACCTAACTTCTTACTGCTCCTCGATCCTTGCGTGCTTATATGGGCCATCACATGCACCATTCATCAAACTTGTCAAAAATTTATAAATAAACCATGCATTTTTTTAGAAACTGGACTAATATATACATCACTTGGACAACTGATAGATTGGCTAAGTGCATATGGTCTAATCTTCTGGTAGTGCCTGTTTGTAGCTTGGTAGATGAGATGGCGATTCACCTTATTGGTCATTGCTAGTACAACAAGCGAATTTGGTAAGCAATGAGGCCATGTACATTGGGCAGCATACCGAATGCCGATCACTGTGCTAAAATTAAGAAAGAGACAAGAACTTGATGTTTGGCATGAGCCAAAGGATGAAGAGAAATAATCCCTTGAGACTAGCTCTTGTTGTACAATGTAATGGTCTTTTGACCTATTTGCAATAGAGAGAATTCCTTAGAAGCCACTAAAAAAGTTTGGAATTTTGTGTATGCCACCAGAAAAGTTGGCATGTCTTGTGGACCACCATTTTAGTTTTTATACCCTTACAAGTCACTGCCGTCATATTCATTAGTGAGAAACCCCGTTATGGCACATATGGATGTTTTTTTTTCTTCCAAAAATGTCTATTTTGATTTCACTAGAGGCTAAGAGCATCCCATCTTCGGTCTTCACTCTTCACTTGTCCAGTCCATCTTCCATCTTACACTTCACACACTCTTCTCCCGACCCTGTCTCTAGTAAATCCCTATAAGCGGGTGAGGCGACGCAGAAGGCCAAATGGATCCATGCTTCACACCTTGCTCTATTTTCCCTACTCCCTCTCCATCCACTAGTAAGTTTAATCATTGAATAGGGTAGTGAAGGAGGTGGATTTCCTCAATCTTGTGGCACTACTACAGTAAGCATTTGTAGGGGCGGCTGGCGATGGTTTGTATAGGTGGTTTTGCCAGCCGCCCATACCACACCATCTCTACAAATCAAGGGTTTATAGGGGCGGTTCCCAAGCCGCCCCTACAAATTGATTTGTAGAGGCGGCTTGTGTCAGCAGCCGCCCCTACAACTGTATTTGTAGGGGCGGTTGGTAACACCAGCCGCCCCTATAATTTCTATTTGTAGGGGCGGTTCACCCTATAATCGCCCCTACAGTATATTTTCACACCAAAAAAATTTAAAATTTGAAAATTTAAATATGACCAGAACATATATACATATATATATATAATATATATAATTCACAAGGACATTATATCAACAACTAATTGAAACTCATAATAATTTAAATTACTTCATTACAAACCCATTCATTACAAACACATAATAATTTAAATTTATTCATTACAAACCATAATAATTTAGATCAATTCATTATTACAACTAACAGTAATTTAACTTTCTAGAATTTTCTAATGTCGTACCACGTACTCGGAGAAGTGCAGATCATTCATTTCATATGTCAAAATGTCACTGATGTAGCGCAATGTATTTACTAGTGCACTCTCCCTTGCTTCACAAGATCGTTCACAAGGTCTACTGACAACGATCAGCATTGGTCGAGAACCTTCACTCCTAGTCACAAGAATTTTTACTTGGATTCCCTCTTAAGTGAGAACATGGCCACCATATTCCCATTTATAACGACCCAAGTGATACATGGCCTGGTTTAAAATTGGCTTCAAAGCTACAACTTACGTATGTTACATCGTTCTCCTGAATCTGCAAGTGTTGGAAAAAATGTGGTTATCAGAACCATGCATATATATAGACATAACAATTAATCTGGATATAAGTTATGAGACTGACCACAACATTCATATTGTCCTCAGCAAGCTTTGCACAAAATAGTCCAATATCATGGTGGAGGCCCACATTC